ATGAATGTGTTTTACCAGCTTTGATTCAGCATTCATTGCCATCCCGATGTAGCCTCGGTTAGCTTCAAATATTGGCGCTGGATCGCGCTTCTCTTTCTGCTTAAGGTCCCCCAGAACACCACTCAGTCCGATTGCTTCTGACACCGCTGCACTTAATGCGATGTATTCTACCTCACTAGATGAAGTTGATACCGTTGCTTGCTTTCGACTCGCCCATGCTACAGGAAATCCAAACACCGGTTCACCGAATCCGAGGCCCAATCTGAGTCGTCAAATCCCACAAGCGGTTCCAATGATTCAGCTTCCTTGAATAGCAGTCCCTTGCTACTGGTACCCTTCAGGTACCGGACGATACGTTTGAAAGATTGCCAATGGATTTCCGCCGGGTTCTTTTTTTTAATCTTCCCAGGTAACTAATTGGGAAGCACAGATCTGGCCTAACAGTTGTCATCTGATACATCAGGCTTCCAAGAAGTTCCCGATACGCCGTTCCAGTCCTCTTTCTTCATGGTTCAGTTGAAGTGCCTTTTCCATCGGAGTATTGGAAGCATTGCACTCTTTCTCACCCGGAACCGGCTCAACATTTTGTTCACGTTGACCGTCTAGGCTAGTTTGAGTTCACCTGAATTCCGAGGATAATTCAGTTTGGCTTCACCGAAGTCGGACATTTCAAATTCTAAGGCCAATCGTAGTTTCAATTTTAGAATGGTCTCCAAGTTCCTTCCGACAATAAACCTCGTCGGATATCTTTATTGATACGTAGAGGCAGTAATCCCGCTTTGATCTGGTCATGCCCAACTTCAACAATACGCCGTTACGATTTTCGTAACTTGCAGATCGGAGATACGCAGTAGCAATTGTTTGGCCTCCCTTTCGTAGCGTTGCCACTTGATTGTTGAAACTTACTTCAACTCCAGCCTTTGTTAACTTCTTAACAGACATCAAATTGTCTCGGAGTTCCGGAACAAACAGTACCTCCTCATCACACATCATGTCACCACGATTACTGGTTCCAGAAATCATTCCAGCTTGCCTAGCTACTAGGGATTGTCCATCTTTAGCAACATTGATAACAACTGGTTGGTCCAATGAGCTCAAAGACTTGAAGAAGTTCTCGATCCAGATCCAGAATCAAGCTTGAACGTTATCTTCCTGTTGTTCTCCCGCTTGGAAACAGCACTGTCAGTCATGAATACAACGGACTTCGAACCAGCTGCCATGTTTGCGTTGCCTTTAGTCTTCTTGCAGTGCTTCTTCATGTGCTCTCTTTTTCCACATTTTCGGGACTTTTCAACTCCGGTAAACGCAGTAGGCTTCTCCCCTGGATTCTGCATCCAATCACTCCGCTTCGACTCTTCGTTGATCAATCGTTACTTCATCAGCTCCTGCTCCTGCTCCGGAAGATTCTCTACCGCCGTCACGATAGGGCCGAACAACTGTCGCTCTCCTCAACAGCCGATATAGCTAGCAATCTAGCAATCAGCTGCCCTGCTGACTTTTTTGGGAACGTGTCCTCGAGGCTCTTCCACCATAGCCTTCACGGTAGTTTTGTCCCGACCACAGCCACAAGGTATTCATCGGACTCAAACTCACCAGCATTGCCTTCGCTTTACGGGTCATCTCTTGGAATTTCACTACTTGAGCCGCTTCCGTAGGCGCTTCCTTGATGATCGCATCCCAGACGTTGGAGGCTTCCAAATAGGTCTTCACGCAAAACTGCCAAGTGTCATAGTTTTGACCAGAGAATTGTGGAATTCCGTGGCTTGAAACTTCCTTTCGTCAGTCACCCATAACCTGTTGAGGTTTCTTCTACTACGCAGTGAAACAAGTAATTTAAGTAACGAGAACAGTTCATTAACTAGGTCTATTCCGCTTGATGGCTTGACAGTTTGTTGTTTATTAATTTATTTGATAAGGCTCAAACGAATTAACTTTACAGAGCCGAGGATTCTTGGTCACTATACAATACATCTTTAAACTATAGTCAAAAGGTACAACACAATAAACACTTTATCCTCCGCTATCCAAAAAGCCTCCTCCATCAGAACTGGAGCCGTTTCCAGTGGTTTCATTGTATGGCAGTTACGCCATCGGGGGGCAGAGTGCTTCCATTGCAGCAATGGACGCAAAACGTGGTCAGCACTCACACACTCATCACACGAAAGGGTTGCTTTTCAAAGTCGACGACGCATCGACCGAAAGAACTGCTGATGAAGAACAATGATCGAGAGTGGCCTGCTTCTGTCGACAGCCGAGTGAACACAGAGATGGCTTGACACGGAATGAATCAAATTTTAGTTCCAACATCTTCATAGGCTACTACGATAGCTGGCTTCGTCCAATTATTGCTCCGTTTCTCAACAGTTTTCGCTTCTAAAATCGTTATTTTTGGAAAAAAAAAAATCTACAAATCTCCTGTTTAAACAGTCCAAAAGTTTGCATTTTTCGTAAAGTTTATTTTTTTATTTTAATCGAGCAAGGCCATTTTGAGATATTTAAGATTCGAACATTTTTTTTAAATTGGAATATAGGACTTTGTGAGATATTTGAGTTCCTAACACTGTTTTCGATTTTTCTTAAAATTAATAAAAAATGCCAGTCATATTTTTCTCAGAAAGACTTAATTTGTCTTTACAACTTGGTCTCAGAAGTCATTTCGATGAGAAGCGAAGTTTTACTGCTACAATTTATTGAAAAATTACAAAGACGCCATTTTGAAAATTTTATATTTTGTTTGTCTGAGGTTACAAGAGTCTTTCTAAAGTTCGTTAGTTTTCCGGTCTTTCTTGAAAAGCTTCCTGAAAACTTCACTGAATTTTTGTGTAGTTCAATAAACTACTATGAAGATTCTCTTGAACTTCTCTTCTATATATAGGTCTCGGCTTTCGCTGAGGTTTCCCAATTCGTGTAACTTTTCTGAAGTTCTCCCAGTTTCTCAGTGGATCAGCTGAAAGGTTAGGAGAACCTCTGATAGGATGTAGCAGCCACTGATAAGAAAAGACTGTGAGGTTCGATGAACTTCTGAGAAATTTATCGAATATTGGAGATGTTCTGCTAGTTTTAAGGAGGTTTTACACCATTAAATTATTAAAGAGCTTAAATGAATTACGGCAAAGCACAGTCAACATCGTATATAAGGATGATACTCAGCAATGAATCTATGACAAAATGTCGATGGATTAAAGGTCGAAGAACAAAAGGTCGAATTGACAAAAGGTCGAAGGACAAAAGGTCGAATGAACATAACGTCGGAGACAAAAGGTCGAATGGACAAAAGGTCAAGTGGACAAAGGGTCGCATGGGAAAAATGTCGAATTGACTGACCTTAGAAGGACAAATTGTCGAAGGTACAAAAGTTTGATTGGTCAAAAGGTCGTATTTAACATACACACTTTTTACCGTGGGCACAACCGAGTAGCTCGGCATTTTATTCTGCTTTATCTCAGTAAAAAACTTGCCGAGATTCAGCTAACAAACGGGAAATTTGCCGAGATCTCAGCTGACAAACATAAATTTTGCTGAATCTCGGCAAGCTTTTCAGTGAGATCCAGCAAAATAAAATGCCGAGCTGCTTGGTGGTGCCTATCTGGGCAAAAAAAAATCAAAGTGTGTAGAGGGACAAAAGGTCGAACGGACAAAAGGTTGAAATGGACAAAATTAAAAAAAAAACGAACATAAAACTTGAACTTAGATGTCAAAAGGTCGAATGGACAAAGTTCGAAATGATCTTAGATGGAAAAAAGGTCAAAGGTACAAAAGTTTGAATGGACAAAAGGTTGAATTGAACTTCGAGGGACAAAAGGTCGAATGTAAAAAGGCCGAATTGAGCTTTGAAGGATAAAAATATCAAATTTAACATAAAGGGACAAAAGGTCGAATTGACAAAGGTTGAAATGGACAACATTTCAAAAAACGAACTTCAAAATTGAACTTAGAAGTCAAAAGATCTAAGGGACAAACGCCAAATTGATCTTAGAGGGACAAAAGGTCGAAGGTACAAAAGTTCGAATGGACAAAAGGTCGAATTGAACTTAGAGGGACAAAAAGTCGAATGTACAAAAAGTTGAAATAGTCAATATTTCAAAAAACGAACATCAACATTGACAATATATTGTTTAAAAAGAGAGTTTAAAATAACTGTAAAAAATACTATGTTTTCGCATAAAGAACTGTTAACTGTGTTATCTTAATTTCCCAAAGGACTGCTCATGAGGAGGAAACACAATTTGGAGTTAGCCTCCCCATTTTATCCTCCAACAATTTGACCTGTTTATCCATTCAAACTTTTGTCCATTTCAAACTTTTGTCCATTTCGACCTTTTGTCCATTCCAACCATTTGTCCATTTTGAATTTTTGTTTATTCGACATTTTGTCCATTCGACCTTTTGTTCATTCAACTTTTTGTCCATTCGACCTTTTGTCCATTCGATCTTTTGTCCACCTAAATTCAAATAGTCCTTTTGTCCATTCGACGTTTTGCCCCTCTAAATTAAATTTGTCCTTTTATCCCTTCGACGTTTTGTCCCTTTAAGTTCAATTCGACCTTTTGTCCATTCGACTTTAAGTCTCCTCATCGAATGATGCTGAAGATTAACCGTATGAACTGTCAACTTCCGAAATACATACAATCAACCAACCAACGCCCATCAAATCGAACGTATCCAACCACTTCATTCACCCAATCCTGTGCATGTAAATAAACCATATTCCGTAGTAAGTTGTGTTCGTTGTTGCTTTCAAGTTCTCTGCACGTATGTTGTGATGTTTGTTTTCTTCCCCCCAGTTCTTGAACAAGTTCAAAACGAAAAAAAAATCTCTCGACCTCCCCCTCAGATTTACAATTACACCCCCCCCCCCCCTGTTACTCTCACGTTCCCGGAATGATCGTTTATGATTTATACCGCCTTCCCCAAAGTTCGTTTTTCGAAAATCCTTGCTGCATGCCAGAGAGTACTATCGGCCTGTGGCAGGACAGATGAAAATCAAAGTTAAAATGAAGCTCTTCTGTTTCTCTTTCCTCACCTGGCAGCTGCTGGACCACGTGCTGTTCAACCCGTCGCTCTGGATCTACACCCCGGCCACGGTTCAGGCCCGGCTCTATGCCTACCTGGCGACGGAGTTCCTCTCGGACACCCAGATCTACAGCAACGTCCGGCGGGTCAGCACCGTCCTGCAGACGGTCCACACCCTCAAGTTCTACTACTGGGTCGTCAATCCCCGGGCCAAGTCCGGCATCACGCCGAAAGGCCTGGACGGCCCACGACCGGCCCAGAAGGATATCCTAGCCATTAGGGCTTACATACTGCTGTTCCTGAAGCAGCTCATCATGATCGGAAACGGTGTCAAGGATGACGAACTGCAGAGCATCCTGAACTACCTGATGACGATGCACGAGGACGAAAACCTGCACGACGTCCTGCAGATGCTGATATCGCTCATGTCCGAGCACCCCAGCTCGATGGTTCCGGCCTTCGATGTCAAGCACGGCGTCCGGACAATCTTCAAACTGCTGGCCGCCGAAAGTCAGCTGATACGGCTCCAAGCGCTCAAGCTACTCGGGTTCTTCCTATCCCGCAGTACGCACAAGTAAGTACCCCCTTCCCCCCCCCCCCCATTTTTTAACCAATTCAACATATATATAACCCCACCGCATCCAAATCTAGACGCAAGTACGACGTCATGTCCCCGCATAACCTCTACACCCTGCTAGCGGAGCGGCTCCTCCTGTACGAGGAATCCCTCTCGCTGCCGACCTACAACGTCCTGTACGAGATCATGACCGAGCACATCTCCCAGCAAATCCTCTACGCCAAGCACCCGGAACCGGAAAGTCACTACCGCCTGGAGAACCCCATGATCCTCAAGGTGGTCGCCACCCTAATCCGCCAGTCCAAGCAGAGCGAACAGCTTCTGGAAGTCAAGAAGCTGTTCCTCTCCGACATGACCCTTCTGTGCAACAACAATCGCGAGAACCGGCGAACCGTGCTGCAGATGAGCGTCTGGCAGGAGTGGCTCATCGCCATGGCGTACATCCACCCGAAGAACTCCGAAGAACAGAAGCTGTCCGATATGGTCTATTCCCTATTCCGGATGCTGCTGCATCACGCGATCAAGTACGAATACGGTGGCTGGCGGGTGTGGGTCGATACGCTTGCGATCGTCCACTCGAAGGTGTCGTACGAGGAGTTCAAGCTGCAGTTCGCCCAGATGTACGAACACTACGAGAAGCATCGGACGGACAACATTACGGATCCGGCACTGCGGCAACAGCGACCAATCAGCACAATCAGCGGTTGGGAGCGTGGAGCCGGTGGAGATCGAGGCGGAGGAGGAGACGACGGAGGAGGGCCGGTTAAAGGTGAAGTAGCGGCTCTGGAAGGGACGAAGAAGTGTATCTGCGAACCAGGAGAGGTAGAAGAAGGAGTGAAAGGTAAGGCTAGGGAAGTGTTGGAAAACGGCGATGAAGAGGAAGATGAAGAGGAGGAGGAAGAAGAAGAGGAAGAGGAGATGGAGGAAGAGCAGGGCGAAGAGGAGATGGAGGAAGAAGAGGAGGAGCTATCGCAAAGCGAGATGAAGAAGGCATTGGAGATCGGTTCGCTCAAGGACAGTCAAAGCGTGTCGGAGCAGGTGGTGGAGAACATAGTGGAAGAGATCATTAGCAAATCAGAGAGCATGCTGAAAGAAACCGAACAGCTGCAGCAGTCTAGCGCAGAACAGACGACTTCGTCTCCAGTGATCAAGGACGAAGAAATCGAACTGGCAGTGAACGAAGTGGTTCAGGGAGTTTTGTCACTGAAAACTTCCAGTGCAACGCCGACGACGACGACGGCAGGAGAAGATGCGTTGAATAACAACAACGGCAGCAGTACCGACGATGTCATGCAGAAGACTGATAGCGTAGCATCAAGTGCAATAACTAGTGTTAATAGCAACAATTTAAACAATAATAATCTAAGTAGCAATAGCGGTGAAGAAGAAGAGGAGGAGCACGATACCGACGACGGTCAAGAAGCACCGAGTGAAGAGCAGGTCAAAGCCATGATCTCCAATATTGTGAACGAAATGGTGGACAACAGTCTGAAAGCAGACAGCACGACGGACGCCAATGAAAACCACGTCTCTTCGGACGTGACGATGGAGCAGAGTGAAATTGAAGCTCAAGTCAAGGAGGTCGTCGAGTCCATCATCACCGATGCGGTTCTGAAGGCCGAACAGATTTCCACCCCGGAGCCGGATCAGGAACCGGAACAGATGAGTACCGAGTCTAGTCCGGAGAAGGAGGGCCTCCGTACCGTGAATGTCGGTACGGTTTCGGCGGAAATCGCCCGGAACGAAGCCTGCGCAGACATCAAAGAAGAACTCGAAGAGGATGAACCGGAAGATGATGAAGAGGACGAAGACAGTGAAGTGCCGGACACTCCGGTCACCGTCGCAACCGTGATAATGAACGACGCAGTTACCCAAAGCGCAAGTCAGTCGTCCGCAGTTCCGACGATTACCAAGAAGACAGCAGTCAACGCCTCAACCAGTACGGCTAACGATTCTCCTCCGGCACACTACGGAACCAACGCGGGAGGCTCCACCAAGCAGCAACGCTCCAAATCCGCCTCAACCCGTCCAATGTTCTCGCCGGGACCTACCCGGCCTCCCTTCCGGATCCCCGAGTTCAAGTGGTCCTACATCCACCAGCGACTCCTCTCGGACGTCCTCTTCTCGCTCGAGACCGACATCCAAGTGTGGCGTTCGCACTCGACCAAGAGTGTTCTGGATTTCGTCAACTCTGCCGAAAATGCAATCTTCGTGGTGAACACGGTTCACCTGATCTCGCAACTCGCTGACAATCTGATCATTGCCTGCGGCGGACTCCTGCCGCTACTCGCCAGCGCCACGTCTCCCAATGTAAGTATGATCCGTTGGAAGCGCGTTAGTGATTTGCTTGATTTGACCGTTTTTTTTTGTTGCAGTCCGAATTGGATGTTCTGGAACCGACGCAGGGCATGCCACTGGACGTGGCCGTATCATTCCTGCAGCGTCTGGTCAACATGGCCGACGTCCTCATCTTTGCCAGCAGCCTAAACTTTGGCGAACTGGAAGCCGAGAAGAACATGTCCAGCGGAGGCATCCTCCGTCAGTGTCTCCGGTTGGTGTGTACATGTGCCGTCCGGAACTGCCTCGAGTGCAAGGAACGAACCCGGGGTCTCTACAATGGAATGTCCCTCAAGGACATTCCCGGCGGAGCGCACCTGCAAGCCCTAATCCGCGGAGCGCAAACCACCTCCAAGACAATCATCGAATCCCTGTCCGGCCCGATGAGTCCGGTCAAAGATCCAGAGAAGCTACTCCAGGACATGGACATCAACCGGCTGCGGGCGGTCATCTATCGGGATGTGGTAAGTATTGTATTTGCTTTTCGATTGTATTTGCCCTTTCCCCCATACACACACACACCCCTATGGCAAGGACGACCGAAGGACCCCTAATTTTTAATCTAAAGAAACGTCTGTTCCAGGAGGAGACCAAACAGGCCCAGTTCCTCTCGCTGGCCATCGTCTACTTCATCTCGGTCCTGATGGTGTCCAAGTACCGGGACATCCTGGAACCGCCGCCGGAGCTTCAGATCCACCGGAACTCGTCGCCGGTCATGCAACGGCAAACTCCAACCCAAGGTAAGTCGTTTTGTACGTCCAATTCCGGATCTTATGCCTCTCTACCTTCTTCCGATATTTATCTTCTATCCGTAATTGTGTGGAATGACCACATCCGGTGCTCCTCCGATGCTGGTCAGCTTTGTTGTTCGTTTCCGTTCGTAGAATTCCGCCTTTCGATTCCGATTCGACGGTTTCCCCCCATCCCGTTTCGGTTGTTTCTATTTGAGTTAAGGCTTCTCATTTGTTTTTTTTTTCTCTTTCGTTTTCGGGTTTGGTTCAATTCACTTGCGAAAGTTGCGCACTACCACCTATCTACTGCTCTGTACAATGTGGCTTCCCATGATCCGAAACATAGTGCCGGTCGCTGTATGTGCTGTATGCTGTATGTAAACGGTGGGGGTGGGTGGAGTGAGAAAATGAACGAAAAGAACTTTTGCACTAATGTCGAGTTGAGTTGATTCCCTGTTGGGAGGGAGCTTCCTATCTGCTTCATTCGCCGGCGGCGGGATGTTGCGCGGCCACTGGGCCATAGTTCGGTGGAGCTGAATAGTTTATTGAATTGAACTGGGGCTCCGTTTGGAGTGGTGGGAATAAACGGACGGAACGAACGAATGAATGGGATCTTGGGGAATGATAAAATAAAACTTTACGGAATTATACCACTGGGAGAGCGGGAAGGAAGCAACTCGAAACGGTGTAGGTGGTCGTATACGTGTGCAGGAGGGAGGGAGGGAGTGGGGATGTTTGTAATTGGAAGAGGATTCGACGAAGTGGATTGCCTGACAGGAGTGATATTATTGGTTGATGCCTTTTTATTATAGTCACTTTAACGCTCTTGGGTCTTTCGTGACTTGTGCGGGGGTGAGATTTGAACTCGGGACTTTGGCGTGAGAGGTATGGATGCTAACCTCTACGCCGGTTCGTCTCATTGGTCAATGCTTTTCGCATTGGTTAGATTGGTTATTCTCATATTTCGAAACGTGTCTTAAATGGTCATTATTTTTTTGACATTCGGAAGCGGTTCCAGATGGCTCTGAAGAGCGTCATATTTCTATTTCATAATTTCATTTAATGATGTAGCATATTGAAATGCATGACTTTGGAAATATAAGATGTCTAACAAAAAAAAATCCGTTTCTGGGCAACATTGACCTTTTTTTTTTGGATATCCGAAATGTTTCTGGAAGATCTTGAATGGGGTCATAATTCACTCAATTCACTCAGATTTTATCATGTGGCATATTGAGCTTCATGATTTCGAAGGCTTAAGACACCCTGCTAAATTTATTGCATTTTGGGGCAATGTTGACCCGTTTTTGGATATCTGGAACCGGTTCCGAAGGACACTGCACGGAGTCATATTTGCAATTCACTGAAACTGTTTAGTTATAGATCTTACTTCGTCCAAATCGGTTCCCCAGGACTCAACGAAAATATTTTCCCGGAAGGAAATATTCCCATGTAACAATTTGGGTTTTATGAGGGTTCTGAAGACCATTATTTAGACTTGTAGAATGCTATGAAACCACGGTAAAACTTGCAATGCTACTTGGGTTCAGATTCTCAATGGAACTAGTAAGACCCAAACAGAAATTATTCGAACTCTCGAATTTCTTAGCAAATTTCTGAGCTTGTTCCGAATGTGTGCGCCGGAATGGGCTTTTAAGCTTTTTTTTCCAAAATTTTTGTGAGTTTCCAAAAGGGTTTGGAACTCGGATTTAATTTCGACATATTATATTCAGTATTTGTTCCTCAGGGTAGAGCTTCACTCGCATGTTCTTTGATATTGCCTGCTACGGACATTTTTCAGACGGATCAAGAGCTTAAGATCGTCGTCTATTATAATTGAATCGCATTTTGCTTCAACTGTAGAAGTAGTCAGAGATTCAAGAGCATAATTAACATCATCTTTGGTTTGCAAAGGAATATTTGGATCAAAGTTATGTTCCATAAATGTTCGACATTGCTCCCAATTAGCTCGAATCAAGGACAATCGGGGAGACCGATAAATAATCGTGAATTAAATGTGATCCTTACATAATGTTTGTTTTTGCCTTTTATAATCGAATGTCATTAACGAAAAGGCCAATACATTGGATTTTTTTTTTCAAAACTGAAGTTCTTAACTTTCTTTAGTGTAAGATACAACAACTTAAGTCTGCGATCTAAATGATTGCAGTGAGAATCCTAAGAAATACCAAGCCTCAGACATTTGACTTTTGGTTAACTTTGATATCTCAAAAGTTTTCACATCAACCTTTGTACGGCAGTTTTATTATTTTTTATCTAGTTCGTTTATTTGTATAGCTCAATCGTGTTAGCTTTACGGAGCTTGTTTGTAACAAAATTCACTTAATTCTATGTCTAGTAGGAGTTGGACCGAATACTCGCGGCTTACCAACGGCAGTTTTAATAACTTGGTAACTTTTAGAACCTTGAGAACTTTTCATATCACAGAATCTAGAATACTTCTCCATTTCTTACCTCAGAATTCTCCTCAGAATACTCTTCTAAATTCAGAAGGAATTCTAGTTCACCTACATAGATTCTGTTATTAATATTTGCATTAATATAGTTGATGTATTTTATAAACAATTTAAGAATTTCATTTCTTCTGGCTGCTGCAATGTTGCCCAAGATTGGTCGTATCAACTCGGTGAAGGAAAGTCGTTGCCATCCGCCAAGAGTCGTCATTATTCTTCGTTGTACGTGCGTCCATGCTGCAGCTATACGAGGGCACTCACAGAACTTGTACTGTAGCGTTTCAATAGACACCATGCAGTGCTGACAATTCGAATCATTTGCACGTCCGATAATGTTCATTAGTCTGCGGTGCTCCGGCTTCTCGTTGATTAACATGTAGAGATCGCTGCGTTGGCACGACGTTAATCCTCTGGACGAAATATTTGTACAGATTTTTTTTCCAAATTTGACCTGGTTGGTTCCGTTCCACCCTTGGCAGTTCGGTTTGCTCAAGATAGAGGCAATGAATTTGATCGCTGGTGGGATTTTGTTGGATGTTGGGTGGAAGCAAAGCAGTCTGCAGAGGAAGCAGTTTGAAACAAGGAAGATCGGCAGGGGGAGGAATATTTTGGGAGAGAAGCTCTACCCGTGTGAGGAGAGGATGGAGATAAAGCACGATAAGTAACATCGACATTGGGTCTCCCTGCCGTACGGATTGCTCTATACGGAACGGCTGTGATGTGAAAGGCGCACATTCACCAGCAGACGTGACGAAGACGCAGCAGCGACCCGAGAGAGTCAGCCGACGAAGCCCTGGTTGAAACCCCGAGATAGAAGAGTCCGATGCAGGAACTCGTGAGAGACCCGATCGAACGCGTGATCGAGATCGAAAGAGATCATTTTCCCTTTTTGCTTTCTCGCGGTTAGTTGTGCTACACGATCCTTAAGCGAGAGCGTGGCTTGGAAGATGGATCGATCGGTGTTGGCACATTTTTGCGTGTCGCTCAGGACTCGATGTGTCCGGAGAATGTGTTCCAGGCGGGTCTTCATGACGCGGGAGAGAATTTTGAAGTTGACGTTGAGCAGGCTGATCGGACGGTATGCTCTCGCTGTTCCATCGCTACCTCTCTTTTTAACCAGTACGATAGTGCCATCGGCAAATTCCGAAGGTAGCTCATCCGTCATAGCTTCATTGGTGACGAAGTAGAGCTCTCGAACTCGATAGATGATGTCGAAAGTTCGATGGTAAAACTCCACCGGTAGACCATCGATACCCGGCGATTTTCGTTTTTGTGACGTTCGGATGGCATTTTTCAATTCGTTGATGCTGATCTCTGCCACAAGAGCAGCGTTAGCTTCGTCGTTCTCGGGTACTACTCTCTCGGTTTCAAACATCTCCTCCCCAACTTGCCTGGTCTCCACCGCCGCATACAAGTCCTTGAAGTATCGGAGCATGTGCTGCTCGATCTCCAGGGAGCCTTGAATTTGCTCTCCTCACTCGTTCTGCAGCTCTGTGATGATTGTTTTTTTACGTCGTCTATCACCCAACTGGAAGGTGGATATGCTCTCTCCGGCTACGAATGTTTCATTGATCCGAATGAAATTTTGTGCGAAGCGTCGCTGCAGCGTGAGCATTTTCGCTTTCACGCGGTTGATAGTCGTCAACATGCCTGGATTTTGTTAGTAGCCATCATACGCGAGCCTCAATTGCGCGTAGAGACGTTGGTATTCAGCGTTAAAGATGCTGAATACTTCGCTTGACTTCCAGCGGAAAAACGATTTAATTTTTTGCTTCGCGTATGAGATCCACCATGCCATCCAGCTGGGGAAATTCCTCCGTTGGCGGGTCCAAAACTGCCACCGGACTTGGAAATCATCGATGTTTTTGGCAGTCAAAAGATGAGGACGGAGGGACCAGAAGCCACGTCCTTGTTCACGACCGAGGTGCGGAAGGCAAATTCGCGCTGTAAGAGCTTTGTGGTCTGTGAACGAACATACGTGTGTGGCAGCACTTCGCAGATGCTCGCAAAGCCCATAGCTTACATACATGCGATCGAGCCGGGATGCCGCATTGTGCGTAACGTATGTGGGTGCGGGGTCTTGAAGCTGCAGCTGCCGTACGGTCGCTTGGAGCGCCGGACTTGTGTTTGAACTCGTGGAGTCGCTCGGGTGAAGCACGCAATTAAAATCGCCCCAGCGAGGACGAAGTGTTGCGTGTTGTGCCGAAGGTAATATGCGATCGTGCCGTTGAAGAATCTCTCTCTTTCCGCACGAGCAGCTGTCCCCGATGGCGCATAGATATTACAGAGAGTTGTGTTTTGCACCCTCAAAGCGATGAGGCGGCCATCCAGGCTCTTCTTCACATGCGAGAACTGAGTGTGGTCTTTCAGCGCGATTGCCGTTCCTCGCCTTGCCTGGTCCACATTGCAGACAATGTTTAAGCCAGGGAGAGAGAGCTGATCATTCTCCACCTCCTGGAGGAAAACGATATCTAGCTCCAGCGTTCGTACAAAGGTCCGAAGAGAGTCAATTTTCGTTCCGTTCGTGATATTGTT